TAACTAACCAACATCTCATTTCTGGAAACATTAAACTGCACAAATACTACACTCATTTATGCACATATTACCCATAGCAAATAAGAGCTCTGCAAATCCACATCACAAATAAACACTCATATATTTTAAATAAGAGCTCTGACAATCCCATCTACATTCCACTTAACAAATAACATAACACATTTAAACACAAATCATGCCTAGAAACGAACATTCAACACAAATATATCATCTCACACAACACGAAACATTATGTCATTGATACACCCAATTCAGATAACAACTTTACTCTACCAAAATGCACAAAAAACTCAGCTAGTAACAATATTATTTCACAATTACAGTATCCACAAATGCACACAATGACCAAGTAGCCATCTACTATTTTAAATAGCCAGCAAAACATAAATGTTATGGACATGACTTCGCTTTATTGTTGCTGGCTTTTATCCAAAATCCCATTTCCCCGTTTGTGCATTGCTAATACGCAGAAAACCATGACCGTATATTTAAATGTAGCTTTAATCTCCCATCTCCGAATCCTATTTTTCCCAGAATCCATTCCCAACCACACTATGTAGCGTCCAGAATTTGTAGAACTATAAAAAACAATTAAATACGAGTAATAAACGTACCTATTTTTCTAGCCGCCTCTAAGGACGCCTGCCTTTTGCTCCGTCGATTACTTTCGTCGGCCATGGATTGTTCGTCAAATCGCAACCTAGAACTCTATAATCTCTCTACTATGGTTCGCCTCTTTGTTTGGACTCTACTCTATGGCAGTCAACTTCAATATCAAAGGTAAATGCAGGAATATGATTTGAGCATCGCGGTCGTAGTCGTCGAAAGAAAGTGAAGATGAAACGATCGGGAATCACGGAGGTTACCTTGGTTGGACGTTGTATAATAGCTGCTCTTTTACTATTTTACCCTCTATTGTGATTAATTGATAACCTTACTGTCATCAATATGCGTTTTTAACTCCTCAAATCTGTGCAATCATAACCGTAGATCAACATAATCGTATAGCCTAAAATTGTCCACACATCCTCATGTGAGATACCATCCTCACTTGATCTCCACCCTATATATATGTGTGTGTGTGTCTATGTGTGTGTGTGACGACTTACTTAAGAACATGATTCCAAGTAATAAATGAGTACAACATATATATTGCAAACTCTTATAAAATTGACATTTTTTTTAACTAAAACTAAATCTTGATGAATGTTTGTGTGATCTAGGGTGAATAAAATATCGATTAACCGTTCGATAGCTGATAATCAAATTAACCGAAAAAAGTCAAGTTTTGGTCGATTTCGATTATTGTTGTTCAAACATTTTCAATTTTTCAGTATTTCAGTTATTTTACGATTATTGATTTTTGATTTCAATAGATAATCGATAATCAATTTCAATCTTTAGAATTGCAATTAATTTGTTAAAAGTCTTGTGGTTGAGCGACATAATTATGGCCCCTCAAAGGTTTTAGGTTTGAAGTCCATTGAAATATCATGTTTCTATTTCAACCCATACGTATAGATACACTGTGATCCTGGAATCTTTATGTTATATACTTGGGCAACAATTAAGTTAGATATCATTTCAACAATGAAGGCTTTAGAATAATAGAACGCGAGGGTCTTAACCAAAATAACAACGCAGGAAAAGGAAGAAGGAATAGACAAAAAGTAGAGACTAGAGAGGGAAGATGAGGATTTTTTCATTCATCATTTACTATTTTTATACAAAGATATCACTATATACAAGGTAATAATAATAAATATAATAGTAAAATTTGATTTATATTCCAAGCCAAAATTCCAATTTTAAAAGTAAAAAAATATTTCAAAGATGCACATAAATTAAAAAGTAAAATTAGTAGAGATAAAATGTAGCATTATTGTATTTTTAAAAAAAAAAAAAAAACACTATCAACTTGTTTTGAGTTGCAATAAAAATTTAATAATTACATTATTTAATTTCATAAATGGATTGTTTATAAAATTATATATTAGATATAGTATATCATGTAATAGAGTACCACAACAAGTATAAAACCACTAGCAGATTCATAGCAAATTATATCATGCACCACGGTGCATGATCAATCATGCACCGCGCGTCTTTTTTTTTTTTAAATGAAAATAAACAGTGTTTGTTTTTCGCCGTTTCACACCCTTTTGCAAAAAGTAACCCTGTTCTTCAGTGTCATTTTGTATACACTGCAGTGTCAGTTCGACACAACTACAGTTTCATTTCGATATAACTATAGTTTCATTCGATATTTATAGATTCAAATATGTGAAAATGTTATTTAATTTTATTTTATATACACTATAGTTTCATTAAAACACAACTACATGATCATTTTGATATAATTACAGCTTCATTGTACAATATACACTCAAATATGTGAAATGTTATTCAGTTTCATTTTATATACACTGCAGTTTCATTTCACTATAACTACAGTATCATTTTGATTAACTGCAGTGTCGATTTAGATATACTGTAGTGTCAGTTGATGTTTAATACACCAAACAAGCGGACTCCGTTAACTATAACGACGGGCCGTTTCTTTACTTAAAGAAACGGCGCCGTTTTTAACCGCAGTGCATGTGCACCGCGGTCTATGATATAACGACTGCAGATTCATTATATTTCAAGCCAAAAATCCAATCAACAACTTCAACCAAAACAGCCAACACCTCTCATTTGTGCTTCTAAACTTGATCTTTAGAGATCTGGGATTCAGCAGCAGAAGCACCTCCTCATATCACTCCATAGCAAACAATAAGTATCAATGAAGTTGAGCTTCTTAAGATTTGGAAGAAAATTAGTTGTCCATGGGATGCCGCTACTCAGAAAAGGTTCAAGATTTAGATCTTTGATGATTAGCTTCTCAAGCTCCCCCAGCTGTACAAAATTATTAAATAAATTGGAATTTTGTAAAGAGATCCCTCGTACAACACTTAGGGTCCAACCAAGATATAGTCTCTAAGTGTATGAACAACCTCCGAAGTTTCATTCGTGGTAGGGGACTGGCCAAATGGTTTGCTCCATTTACATGGATAGGGATCGAACCCCCAACTTCATGCTTAAGGGACGAGGTGCTAAACCATCACACCAACCATATTGGTTATTTTATCTGTGTCTCTGATACACTTTGAATATATAGTTATATTTGAAATTTAAATTGTAATTTGTGAGATTTATTCACAATTCTAATTGTATATTAATTGTGAGACATCTACAATTTGTTTTCCATATTCACCACCAATTGATAGCAAGTTAAGGTGAGACAAAAACACCAAAATAAAGAGCTGCGTGCGCATACAACATTCATACCCTTATTTATTATATTCATCACTTTCCGTCTTCCTCCTCATCACTATCTAGGTATCAAATATAGAAAAATGAGATCAAGTGAGAGAAAAATGACTATCCCTTATTCAAGTAAATAGCATAAAATGTAAAGTGGTCAGAGATATATTAGAGAGATAGAAAGAGACCCATTTTTTTTTTTTTTTTTTTTTTTTGGGAATAAGGAGACCCAAACCTTTTCGAAACAAACAAGGAAGACATCATTTCCATAGTTGTGTTGCTCACTTGCTCATCATGAATCTTCTTTGTGGAAACGAAAACAGAACTCCAACATTCGTTTAACTGAATCAATGATAGTGTGTTGATATCAGCAAAATCACTAGGGATCTCTTGCAACAAGTAACATTCACTTAATTCTAAATATTCGAGCACAAGAAAATACATGGTCACCTATTGTTGTCTAATGCTGAAGATTTGTTACTTTAATTACCAACTTTTTCAACTAACGGAACCCTCCCTCAAATGGCTGCCATGCACTTTCGGCCTTAGCAAGCATGTATCAATTTAAGAATCTCTAGATAACATACCAACCTGTGAACCCTTGATCATGATATAAGGTATAACAATTGAGGTTAAATTTCAAAGAAAAACTTTCTTAGAAGTACGTAAAGCCCAATATGCACAACTAAGGCCCAATCTGTATTGTCTCAGTCGTTATATCGTGGATCGTGGTGCATAATCAATTATGCACTGCGCATCAAAATGGCGTCGTTTCTTTAAGTAAAGAAACGGCGCGCTGTTAGTGTTAACGGAGTGACACTACAGTATATCTAAACCGGCACGGCCTCACGTATTATTTTTATATTATCAAATGAAACTGCAGTTATATCAAAAGGATACTGTAGTTGTTGTGAAATGAAACTGCAGTATATATAAAATGAAACTGAATAACATTTCACATATTTGAGTGTATATTGTACAATGAAGCTATAATTATATCGAAATGATCATGTAGTTGTGTTTTAATGAAGCTATAATGTATATAAAATAAAATTAAATAACATTTTCACATTTGAGTGTATAAAATTGAATGAAACTGTAGTTATATCGAAATGAAACTGTAGTTGTGTTGAACTGAAACTAACAGTGTATACAAAATGAAACTGAAGAACAGAGTTATTTTTTGCGGAATGATGCGGAACAGATTCCGTTTCTTTTCATTAAATAAAACGACGTCATTTTAGTGCGCGGTGCACGATTGATTATGCACTGCGATGCACGATATAATTTGTCGTATTGTCTTAACAAAAAGAAGAGGAAAATTCAAATTGAATTTCGAACTGAAATTTTGCCAAATGAGAGGAGATCATATTATGATGATGATACTGGAGTATTCTTTATCTCTCTCTAGAATCTCTCTAGGGTTTTTGCCTCCACACTAGGGTTTCCTAGGGTTTTTTTGCATTGATAGCGTTTTTCCGGCGACAGCCGGCGTTCGACTAGCGACGATGAGCACACCAACGGCGACGGTGCAGCCGGACCCGGAACAGCGTACGAGGACGGGGGAGGACGAGGTCGCTGTGGTCACCGAACAGTGGGCGCAATGGTCGCTGGAGGAGGAGGAGGCGACTTTCGCGCCGGTCGGGGACGAGGTAGGGTAGGCCGACGTGGGTATGGAGGAGACGTGGAAAGTTGTTGGAAGATTCCTGACTCAGAAGATGGTGAAGTTGGAGTTTATGCGTCAGGTTTTAGCTTCCGTTTGGCAACCGGTCAGAGGGGTTCAGGTTACGGAGATCCAGAGGGGTGTGTTCTTGTTCGTTTTCTTTCATAGAACGGACGTGGATTATGTCTTGGATGGAGGACCCTGGGCTTTTGAGAATAATGCCTTAGTTTGCAGGGAGGTACCGCCGAATACTCTCCCCGGGGAGATCCCGTTGAACACAATTGATATGTGGGTGCAGTTACACGATATGCCGTTGGGATATACATCTCAAACGGTGTTAGAGCAGGCTGGCAATTTCATTGGTACCTTTGTGAAACATGATGATCGGTTTGAAGGGGCCCCGTGGTTGACTTTCCACCGAATTAGGGTTTCTATTCCGGTGGATAAACCATTACGGCGACGAATGAAGCTACTGAAGAGGGATAAGACCACGGCTTGGGTAACGTTTTGCTATGAACGGTTGCACAGGTTTTGTTTTTACTGCGGATTAATGGGACATCTTTATAATTTTTGTATTAAGGCGCGGGACTCTAGTATACCATTGGAGCGGTACCCGTATGGTCCGGATATGCGAGCTGGTGGCTCCCGGAGCGCTCCTAGAGCGGTTGGGGAGAGCTGGCTTGTGCCGGTTGGCGGGAGACCACGTCCAATAGAGGTGGATGGCGGGATGACCGGGGCGGCAGTGGTACGGCCCAGTGGTGCCGTACCGGTGCGGGGCAGATTTGTGGCCGAAGAGCAGGTGGAAGCCACCGGGAAAAGGCGCAGGCAGGCTGAGAGAGACCGACGAGGTACGGAGTTTGAGGGAGAGGATGTTATTATGCAAGAAGGTTCAAAAAACTTGTCCATGGCGGGAGCTGCTGCACAGTCCCGCCCGTCCCAATGAGTACGTTAAGCTGGAACTGTTGTGGCTTGGGCAATCCACAAACAGTTCGACAGATTGTGGACCTGGGGTCCCGTAAGAAGCCAGATTTTGTGTTCTTAATGGAAACCAAGGTGGCACGGATACATGCAGAGCGGATTCGTGTTAGTCTTGGGTACGAGGGGTTATTTTATGTTGACAATGATAGGATGAGTGGTGGTATGGCTCTATTGTGGAAAAAGAATAACACGGTACAATTGTTAAGTTATTCTAAGAATCATGTGGATGTGGAGGTACGGGTTGAGGGGAAGCAATGGCGGATGACGTGTTTTTATGGCTTCCCAAAGTGGAACGAGAAGAGGGACTCATGGAATTTGTTGCACACGTTGAAGGGTAGGTCCGCGTTCCCGTGGGTGGTGGTGGGGGATTTTAATAATCTCTTGTTCCAGCATGAGAAGAGAGGAGGAAGCCCGTATCCTGATAGTCTCCAACGTGGTTTTGGGGAGGCAGTTGATGAATGTGGGTTAGCCCAGATGCCTATGAGGGGGCATCAATTCACATGGGAGAAAGGCAAAGGCACGCAGAATTGGATTGAGGAAAGACTTGACAAGGTGTTGACCACAACGAGTTGGAATGATATTAATCGTCATGCATGGCTGGAGAATATTCGAACTAGAGCATCGGATCACTCGATTCTTTTCCTCAACATTAATGCACCATGCATACCGAGGAGAGGAAACCCGAGGGGTTTTCGGTTCGAGATGGCCTGGTTTTTGGAAGAAGGCTGTAAAGAGGTTGTGGAGACTGCCTGGCAGGATGGTAAAATTGAGGGGCTGCTTGGGTGCCAACGACATTGTGGAGAGAAACTCATGCGATGGGGTGGTGAACGTTTTCATAAGTTTGGAAAACGTATTGACCAGCTGCGACGACGACAGGAATCTATCCGCAATCGGAGGGACCACGCGGCACTAGCCGAATTCCGGCAGATTGATGACCAGCTGAATCTGCTGGAGGCCCAGGAGGATGTATTTTGGAGACAACGGGCAAAGCAACATTGGCTACGGGGAGCAGATGCCAATACAAAATTCTACCACAGGTATGCTTCTGCCCGTAGGAAAAAGAATTTAATTATGCGTATTAAGGATAATGATGATTTGTGGGTTGAGGGGGATAAGATGAAAGCAGTGATAGTGGATTATTATACAAATATTTTTGCCTCGAATAATTCCAGTTGCTCAGATCCGTTGTTTGAGGATTTTAGTCCCCGAGTTACTCAAGTGCAGAATGCGATGTTAATACGGCCCTATGAGGCGGATGAAGTAAAGGAGGCAGTGTATTCCATGTTCCCAGATAAGGCACCAGGACCGGATGGTATGAATCCGGGATTTTATCAGCACTTTTGGGGTGTAGTGGGGGATGATGTAACTCGTTTTATAACAGGTGCGTTGAATTCATGTGTCCTCCCGGAGGGATTAAATGATACAAATATAGTGCTAATCCCTAAGAAAACGCAACCTGAGACAGTAGCAGATATGAGGCCAATTGCGTTAAGCAATGTGATTTACAGGATTATGGCGAAGATGATTGCGAATAGAATGAAGCCACTGATGGGGGGAATAATCTCAGAGTCCCAGAGTGCGTTCATTCCGGGCCGTTTGATTACAGATAATATATTGGTAGCTGCGGAAGTGGGACACTATTTGCATAGGAAACAGTGTGGCAGTGCGGGGTGGAGTGCGTTAAAACTGGACATGTCAAAAGCTTATGACAGAATGGAATGGCCTTTTCTGAAGAAGATGATGACTGTTATGGGTTTTGATGAGCACTGGATCCGCCTTATTATGCTGTGTGTTACCACAGTAAGATATTCGATTATGATAAATGGGGAGGTGGGTGGAAGTGTGACCCCGACCCGTGGGCTGAGACAGGGAGATCCTCTTTCTCCTTATTTATTTATTATTTGTGCGGAGGGACTTTCAATGTTGTTACAGAGAGCACAGATGGATGGGGCTATACATGGATGTAGGGTGGCTAGAGGGGTACCACCGGTCTCACACTTATTTTTTGCAGATGACAGTCTGTTGTTTTTCAAAGCAAATATTCAGGAAGCAGCTGTTATTAAGCAGTGCCTGGTTAGATATGAGAAATTGTCTGGCCAAATGGTGAACTATAATAAATCAAATATTTGCTTTAGTAGAAATACCCAGATGGCGCAGAGGCAGCAGGTGGCGTGGTGTTTGGGGGTGGAACTGGCATCCAATTTTGGGAAATATCTGGGGCTCCCTTCCTTTATAGGAAGAAATAAAAGGGCTGTATTTGCATATATTGAGGATAAAATCAGGCAGCGAATTGGATCATGGAACAAAAAGTTGCTCTCACAGGCGGGTAAGGAAGTACTCTTAAAAAGTGTGGCTCAGTCTATGCCTACATTTTCTATGAGTGTGTTTTTGTTACCTGAGTCAGTGTGTTTGTCCATACAACGTACTATGAATAAATATTGGTGGGGGACAGGAGCATATCGTGGAATACATTGGAAGGCTTGGGATAAATTATGCATCCCTAAGAAATATGGAGGATTGGGTTTTAAGGACCTTCGTGCGTTTAATCTGGCCATGCTGGGGAAATAGGCATGGAGATTTCTTACAGAACCTACCACTTTAGTAGCAAGGATCTATAAGGCTCGATATTATCCAAAGACTACTTTTATTGATGCTACTATAGGAAATAATCCGAGCCACTGCTGGCGGAGTATTATGGCCTCCCATGATCTAGTCTGTGCCGGGGTGCGCAGAAGGATTGGAAACGGTAGGGATACATTGATATGGGGACATCCTTGGTTGTCTGATGATCCAAGTCCTTTGGTTCAAACGCACATGCCTGAAGGATTAAGACAAGCATTAGTGAGTGGCCTTGTAGATCAAGATACGGGTACTTGGGATCCACATATTCTCAATGATTTATTTATTCCTGAGGATGTGAGCCGAATCTCAAGAATACCAATAAGCCCAGATTATGATGACACTTGGTATTGGAAAGGGGACACACAAGGAATATACACGGTTAAGAATGCCTATAGGCGTATTATGGGGGACTATTCTGATGACCCAGGTGCTTTTGATAAATGGGTTACATTATGGAAATTAAGAGTGCCACCCAAATGGAAAACCTTTTTATGGAGAGCCGTGTCTGGCATACTACCCACCACTGATAATTTAATTGTTAAACGGGTGGAGGTGGATCCTATATGTCCCATGTGTGGCAATACACAGGAAAATATTATGCATGTACTGGTTTTATGTGATTATTCTAAAATGGTTTGGAATATTTCGGGATTACCTGTCACGAATATTCAAACTAATTTTTTCCAATCATGGTTCTTAGGCATGATGGACTCGTTGTTGGAAGGGCAAGTACGCCTGGCAGTTGGGATCCTCTACTACTTATGGCTAGCAAGGAATTCGGCGCTGTGGGAGAGAGCCTTGCCACGGCCTACGGCTACAGTGAAGAGGGCGGGCCTGACCGAGGAGGCCTTCACCAGGCTCAGACGTGTGACGGCACAACCGAGTGCTACGGTGATGCCGGAAATCGAACCGTATGGGCTCAGGTGCTATTTCGATGCAGGCTACAGACAACACACGGGGGAAGCAACGTTCGGAGTTGTGTTACTCAGTCACGAGGGTGTTTTTATGGCAGCCTCGGCGGGGACACTACCTGGAGCTTTTTCACCCATTATGGCAGAAGCCCTAGCATGCAAGGAAGCACTATCGTGGCTTAAAGGGCGCGATATACAGAGGGTCGATCTAATCACTGATTGCATGGAGTTGCGTAACATGATAAAATCAAGAAGTACCGGAACACGATCGTATGTTGGGGTCATTGCGGACCAGTGCAGGACAATTATGTCATTATTTAATTACTGTTCTTTACATTATATTTCCAGAACTGCTAATATGCATTCTCATACACTAGCTTCGTTAGCTTTCGATCAGGAACATCCTATGTACTGGGATGTAATCCCACCTGACTCTATTACTATGTTCATTCATTAATTTACCAAAATATTTGGCTTTCAAAAAAAATATTATGATGATTTTTGAGCTGATTGACACGACCTTTATAGTTGATTTGGAGCATGTATTATAAATTTAAAACAAACTGCATTTTTACTAAATGGACGATAACGTGACGCATGCCGGTGCTTTTAGCCCAAGAGAGGAAAAACAAAAAGAGTTCCGTTGCCAGGAATCGAACCCGGGTCGCCTGGGTGAAAGCCAGATATCCTAACCGCTGGACAACAACGGATACATGTTATACTGAATCACTTAATGCTTATTATACTAAAACTTTAAAGCTAATACATTTTACATAACTACACAAATATACTACGTTGTAACAAATTGCGGTGAACGTGGATCGAACACGTGACCTTCAGATCTTCAGTCTGACACTCTCCCAACTGAGCTATCCCCGCAACTGAAAATGGGTTTCTTCGTGTCATTATTAATTACAAACACGTGACCATTTTTACGATGTATTATAAAATCATATAAGGAAATGCATCCAATTACAATTTAAACGTACTCATACAAAATTTTAAAATTACATTTTCTTATATGATTGTACAATACATTATATATATATATATATATATATAGGAAATTTCTATAATATACTTTTATTAATTATAATTTATATTGATTGATTTATAATTCAAAATTAGCATTTAAATTTTGTATGATTAATACAGTTGCACAAGTGTATGTACGTATGTATTTTAAAAAATTGATTAACACATGTTTTATTAATTTTATAATTTCATTTCCTTAATCATATTTTATATTTTATTAATTACACCGTATAATTTAATAAAATTACTACAAATATTGCAACTGAAGAGATATTATATTTCTCAATTTCATTAATTATATTAATTATAATTATCAAATATTATAGCAATTACTATAATAATTTCATTAATTATATTAATTATAATATTTGTTCTCTTCTAATATTGAATATATTAACATAAAATTACCATCATAATTAATGAAATTGCCAAAATTTTGAAATATATTACCATATTGTCATAATGATTACACGGAAGAACGAAATAAAAATTACCAGAATAATTACCATTAATAAAAATTAGAAAATTATATTAAAAATTAATTATATTTTAAACTAAGTATATTTTACTTTGTGTCAATAATATTATACCTTAAGTATAAAAATATATATGTATATAGATTACAATAAAATAACCATAATAACTACACTGAAAAAGGTGAAGAGAATTACAATAAATAATTATTAGGCAATAATATTAATAATTAATTATTAACGAAAGTATATTTTATTTTGTACTAATAATATTATACATTAAGTATAAATAAATAAATATATTATTGAGTTATATGATAGCATGAGCTTGCTTATTGAGTTGTATGATAGCATGAGATTGCTTATCGAGTTATATGATAGCATGAGATTGCGTATTAAGTTATATGATAGCATGAGATTGCTTATTGAGTTATATGATAGCATGGGCTTGCTTAGTGTAGATTTGTGTTTCCTTTCCATTTCCAAGCTCAAGAACATTGCAAATCTTGGATTTCAAGACTTCAGTAGAGAAGTTTTCTTATTCATCTCTTCTCTTTACTTTTCATCTATGCTTTCAATTTCTCTTTTAATATTGTGTATCTATTGTTATATTATGAGTAGCTAAGTGTTTTGGGACTAGGATTTGGTTTGATTTCTTGCTATTGATGCCTATTTGAGTTGTATTACATAAAGGGGATTATTTGGGTGATCTAGGGTTGTTGTGTGAAATGGGTTTGTTGAGAAATTTGTGTATGATTGTTGGATCCTAATTATATGTTTGATTTGGAGTGTGTTTGTTGCTACGAGAGTAGAGCTTGTACACTAGCCACACATTCACACACTTAATGCCCAATACGAGAGTATTTCGGGTGTTAAGGAGAATTTTTTACTTGTGTTCTTGTTTGGGCATCCTTGGGTTGAATTACCACGAGAGTGGAGTTTAATATGAGGTTGCAAGTCCAAATAGCTACGAGAGTGGTATTTGGACACTTTTGTGCATCTCACTTACCATATGCCTTGTTTAATTCCCTAATCTTAGTGTAATATTTGGCATCTTAGCTTGAATCAACCAAATCCCGGTCCTTTGTTTTGCTTGTCTTATTTCTTATTAGCCTAATCATATCAAACCAACTCCTTACCAATAGGTCTAGCTTCTAAAAGAATAGTTCTAGCTTGTGTTTAGCTTCACTTTGCATCAATTCCTAACATTACAAGAGCCATCTCCAGTGGAACGATATCTAAACTCTATTTTTAAACAATATTTTTAGTGTTATTTTAAATAATCTTTTTATAGTTAAGTTGCAAATAATTGATTATTTCTTATCTATTTTTATTTATTATCGCTATAATTAGTTTTTAGTAATTTAGTAATATTATTCAATTTTAGGTTATCTTTATTAAATTTATTTTATTATTTGAATTCTGTTAGTCTAATAATTTCTTGATTCTAATTTAATGATTAATATTTATAATTTTAGTAGTACATGTTCAGTAGGAGTTTAATAAATGTAGATTAGTGATAAAAGAAAGTGACCGCAGACTCGTTCTCGGTCATGGCTACGATCCGATATACTAGCAGAAGAATGCTCCATAGCAGCGCAGAAGCGGAGAAGTGGCTTGGCCGGAACAATATAAAATGAAGCTAATTTTCATCATTCTTCAATCAGTTTTGACCCCGGGATCAATTCCGGCGGTGGTGCGGCAGTTTCTGAATTGCAGGCACGGCGAGCTCCAGTTCGGCGGCGGCGAATTCCCAGTCTTCATGGTGCAGATTGGTTTTTGTTTTACGTCCAGGTTCTTAATTTGTGAGCCACATGTTAGTTCCATTTGTAATTTTTCTTGTTTAGCATGCATATTTTAATCCTTTCTTTAATTATGTTTAGCTTGAATATTTTAAATGTTTTAAGTTAATCGTTTCTTTAGTGATGTTAAATTCCACTTGCAATCAGCTTTCTTCAGATCTGTACGCGTAGTTAACTTCCTTTCTTTAGGAACATGTATTATTAGCATGAACAATTTATATTAATTTACTTAGTTTGTTCATCAATTATATTTGATCTTATAATTCTTTATTACGATTGGTTGTATTGAATTTGCCCAGTTCTAGCATTTGATTAATGTTCTAGTCTTTTTTTCCCTGCTTATATTTCGTTTTGTCAATTGTCTTTTCTACATAGTTTTCCACCTACTTTTTTATTCAGTTTAATTAATTTTAGTTGTTGATTGGTTCTGAGCACTTGAAATTATTAATTCAATTATTTCTAAGTTTAGTCGTTATTAAATTGCATCGTACAATTCCCTGTGGGATTGACTCGTGCACGTTATGTTTGAAGCATGCGTGTTGATATTATAGGTTGCGAGCATATAGAAATTTGTGATGTATCTAAAGTTGTCTAAGTGTTGAGTTTGTTGCTTGAGTTTGAGAACAAATGTTTTCCAAAGTATATTCTATAGTACTTTACAGGGTTGAGTGTGGTTATACTTAGCTTCGTGATAACGGGTGTTTTCCTATTTGTCTATGTGTTGTTTGTAAAACCCCTTTTAGGTGGGCTCAGCGTTGAGAAGTGATCGAGTTAGACTTGTCTAGTAGTCCTAATAGTCTAAACTCTTAATACTTTTATCATGATGTTATTTTGCCGGATTTTTAGACTTATGTTGTTTGATGATGTTTGATGATGTAGATATCGGGGTGTGTTTTTCCACTTATGACTTTCGATTAAGTTTTATGGATGTTATTTATTTTATTTTTATTCTAGTTCCATCATTAGCCTGTGCAATCACCACGGAGTGGTGGTTGTGGCGGTGACATCCCCACTAGTTTACTTTTTAAGTTGATTATCCGCTGCTTGGTTTATGTTAATTATGATTTAGAATCGTAATTAAGATTTAGAAAAGTGGGGTGTTACAACCTGATCCAGCGACTAAGAATTGAGGCGGGGAACAGGACGAATGATAGGAGAGTTCATGTCGTTGTTGGCGCTAAGGCCAATGTTGTGGAGCACGGTAAAAGCTCCAAGAGGAACAAGAAGGACAAGTGAAAGCTAGGTCCGAAAGGAGGCGTTACCAAGAACAAGTTTTCTGGTACATGTTACAATTGTGGCAAGCCTGGCCACAAGCCATCTGAATGTAACGCTCCAAGAAAGAAGAACAAGAATTCTGAAGCCAACGTTGTTGGAGAAATCAGTTAGAAGGAGGTCGAGATTAGCCTTTCGGCTATGGTGACCGAGGTGAACCTCGTGGGCTCTAATCCACGTGAATGGTTCATCGATACCGGTGCAACCAGGAATTTATGTTGCAACCAAGAGATGTTCAACACCTTTGAGACCGTTGAGGGTGAAAAGGTGTGGATGGGTAACTCTGCTCAGTTTGTTGTGGAAGACATGGGCAAAGTAGTTCTGAAGATGACTTCCGGGAAGGAACTAACGTTGAACAACGCGCTGTATGTTCCGGAGCTGAAGAAAAATCTTGTGTCTGGCTCGCTGCTGAACAAGCATGTATTCCGCATGATGTTCGAGTTAGACAAAGTAGTTTTGTCTAAGTTAGGGATGTTTGTTTGTAAAGGATATGTAACTGATGGGCTTTTTAAGCTCAATGTAATTCCTGTTATCAATAAAAGCAAAGTTAATTCTGTTTACTTGCTTGAGTCTTCCAATTTGTGGCATGGTAGACTAGGTCATGTTAATTTTAATTCTATACGTAGATTAATTAGCATGCACCATATTCCTAACACTATCAACTTGTTAATTTGTAATTTTGAATATTTCTTTGAAATTTGTGTTGAGGCAAAACTAAAGAAAGTACCTTTCAAATCGGTTGAAAGGGAAACTGAATCACTAGAATTAATCCATAGTGATTTGTGTGATTTTAAATTGATACAAAGAGAGGTGGTAATAAGTATTTTATCACATTTATCGACGATAGCACACGATACTACTATGTGTATTTGCTT